ATTAACTCTCCGGTCTATAGAGCAAACCCTCTCTCTCCACACACACAACCTCACTTCCTTCCTACTGTCAAGTGACTGAGGATCTGCAGTGATCAATGCCTTCAGAGAAAGCCTGTAACACTGAAGGACATTCTTGAACTAATGAGTATTGTCAAAAGACATGCAAATTATCTAAAATGACAGAAGAGCAACATTTTCAATTAGTGAAATGGAACACATTTCATGTGCAGCATCACAACGTCATTGACTCCATCTTGGTCTTGATTACATCGTTATTGCTATGACATCAAAACAGGTGCTTCTCGATTGCATCCAAATGTTATGTACATCTTTCATACCAAATAAGAACCAGGTTCTTCACAGTTCTAAATGCGATTGTCAAGTGCAGTTTCTTTATTAATAACTCCTCAGGCTACGGCAGAACTTGCTTTCTTTTTTGCATTCTTAATTTTTAGTCATTAACTTATCTTTTTCCTGCTTTACACTGAATATATTATGACAATATAAAGTATATACTTTTAAAATAAAAGTAACAAATCTTCATTATTGTGCCATTCCACAGACTCCAAAGAGCCCTCTTGTTTTCGTGTCTTTAATTTAGTGTTTGACCTTAGGCCATAAGAAATGCCTGCATTTCAAAAGTTTAATTCCAAAATGACAATGAAGATTGTAAACCTGAAATTATTTTTTGTTAATATAGTCATTCTCATAGAAGCATAGAGATCCAAAAGACCGGAGCAGCGATTCAACGAGCCCAGTCATAGAGACCGAGTGTCGAGTGAGCAGGAGCAGTGAGGCTCGAGACTATGAGAGCATAGATATCCATTCACGAGTAGAAATAATAATAATAATAATAATAATAATAATAATAATAATAACACAGCCAAACAGGGCCTCTCGCAGCCAGTCTCGTGTGGTCAATTAAGCATTCTTCAACTGTCGACCGAGTTTGTATTATTATTATTATACTTTTTTGGGAATTTATTTTTTTGTGCGCAGTTCAATTTCCTATGTGCGCTGATTTCATAACCTGTGTGCGTGCGCGCACCCTTAGACAGCTGAGAGGGAACATTGCAGCAGGACAAAGGAAAAAACACTGCTGCCTTCAGGAGATACACACACGTGGGGTTTACACAAACATGCTCAGCCTAGGACTACTTATGAGTACAATGTAAACAGATCACCTACTGACAGTTTAATCCATGCAAAAATGATCACAAGAATTATTAACGACTATAAAGGGATACAAACAGAAATACAGGTATTCATCAATTACAATAGACAAGCACAGGCCATTTTTCTCTATATAGGACACATAACGCTGACTGATATCTAAAAAAAACAACATTCTTTACACATTTGAACTCAGTTTTATATCTGAACTGAAACAAAAAAGAGAATGTAACATTGCTTCAAATGGAAGAGTGATGATCATTAAAAAATAAACTAGAGCACACTAGAATACCAGTGAACCGCACAGAAATGTGTGCATCACATAATGGTCACTGGTATTTCCAATTTTCTGTTATGCATACATGATGATAAACAGTGATGGAGAAAGTTACTTTAGAAAGAATCCATTACACATGACTTGATTAAGGGATTATTTTCTCAAAATTAACAAAAGGCTTGGAGAAAAGGTACATTTAAATTCAGTTACAGTGATCTCTGCTGTGTTGTGTGTATATAGTTTCTGTGTGAAGTCATATATAACCTTTTAAAGCATTTCCCCAATTGTCTCATTAAGTTAAAAACGCAATCCCATTTGAGTGGCTCACCCACAGTAAAGAGTCCTTCCCCGCTACACGAGTAGAGCTGTGTCTTCATTGGTTAGAACCTTGGTCGTGTCACTAGCCGACTGTGACGACGTTTCCTCCAGCAGTGGACTGTAATTGGCTGAGGTCCTCCACATTTAGGATGGGATTAGAGAAAATAAGAGGGTGGGAACAGTTTTCCAGGGCTCTGTTAAAAACACAGCGACCCCCGGCGGCCTCCAGGGCGCCTTCGGTCTTGGGATGCTGTGGTCGAGGCACTGGCCGCTCCTGCGGTCTGCGTCGTGTTAAAAGACAAGAGGCTGGAAGGCGTGGGTGTTTGGCGGAGTAAACCCACGCTTCGTCCTTCTTTCCCAGCATTCGCTGCTGCGTGTCGAGATACGAGACATGCTCAGATCGAGAAAGCATAATTCAAAATAACACAAGTGAGTGTTATTAATTAATTTTTAAAGAAGCTTTTCCCCAACAATATGTCGCGTTAACTTGAAGCGATGCAAGGGGAAGAACACTGCACATTAAGTCAAGTGATAATCCATATTCAACGACAGGTCAACAATTATCTTGCATTACAATCTTCACATACACTTCCAGTTTTTGAAACATCATGTTTTCTTTGCATCTCTGTAGTTTCAAGTATTCATATATAAAAGCTAGTAACAGTTGATGCTAATGAACTATTATTAATTGCGCAGTTTGTTATTAAGGCTTTAATTTTGATCGAGTTTTAGAACTCAGGTCGAGTATAACAAGCAGTATAAACCGCTTTAAAACATGATGGATTTTTGTGCATCTTAATCAATACTTTATTTTAAAGGTTGTTTAGATTATTGTGGATATTTAATGATGTTGAATTCAGTTATCACCTGGTGGAAAACTCAAAAACCTTAAGACAACACGCCTTTTTAAATAACTGCGTTAGGAAGATATTCCAGTTGTCTATCGACGTTGAGATATGTATTTTTAGATTTTATACAGAAAGCAATAATCGTGTCCATAACTGTAATCAGGCCTCGTGGGATTACATCTACGCAAAGGTTTAAAAAAGTAACATGACATGCTGGTGTTGTTATTGCTGATTCGCCAGCTCCGTTCAAGTGCTGGCTGTCTAACCTGATCATTTGTAACACATCTATGTAGGAAATGAGGCTTTTTTTTTTGTAAAGGTGGTTGAATCTTCGTCCCGGCAATGATAATGTCCACAGGCATAGATCACTGTCAGACCAAAGTAGCACTGCAAGCCTGCTCCGTCACAAAGCCTCATCAATCCATCACCGTCTGAGCGGCTGACACCCGGGGTGACACGGGCAGCCAGTCTGGAATGGGAATTGGAAGGAAGAGGCTGCGCCAGGGAATACAGATTTAAGAAAGTGAGAGGGAGATTTGTATTTTTAATGTGAGCACGAGTTCCAGCGCCCTTTCGCGCAGGGAGCACAGCTGGCGCTGTGTTAGAAGAACAAATAGCTCCTGTGCGCGCCCGGATGAAGCCACACGCGTTCCGAGTCGGTCCCAGTGATGCCTCTGCGTGTCAGTTTCAATTTCTGTGAAATTTTAAACAAAAGGAAGACACCTAAACCGCCTCTCCGAGGAGAATTGCGGGAAATATTGGATGGGGTGGGGGGGGGGGGGGCGATTAAATTGACAGGAGATTTAAAAACGCTGGCGCCGATTGCGTTTTATGTTACTCTTTGACAACTGTATAAAATATAGTTTCATTAAAATGCGCCACCCTGCTGTTTCTAACAGCTTTGGAATGATCCCTAATTGTTTTATTTAATTTGACTGCGGTGCGGCTTTAAAGCTCTTGAGAGGAGGCAGCGGCTGCTAAACGCTGTGTTTTATGTTTCATTTGAAGATTTTAATATATATTTTTCCCCCCACGAAACGCCTGAGGATGCAGTGAGTAGGAGAAACACGTGAGGAAGCCTAAGGCACGTCCAGACCCTTCAGCCCCCCTCCCCACCCCCTGTCCTACACACCTGCTGGTGTCTGTTCCAGCCCGACTGTTACACAATTGAACCCCTGAATGACTTGATCATAGCATTCGAACTGTTTGACTGTTTCCAGCTCTTACACGTGTCAGGAGTCGGCTTCTAGTTGCAGGACATAAGTAACACAGAATTCCAAGCTTTGGAGTAGAACAAAAACCTTCAAGGGTTTTAAGCATCCAACTCGTGCTAGTTCAGTTAAGGGTTCAGTTAAATAATTCAGCTCGGTCGAATGAAATCCAGCAGGTGGTGGTCTCCAGGACCAGGATTGAGGAAAATCTGATCCAATGCAGATTTCTGATGTTGGTGCTTGTAGACCCCGAAACCCACCCTGAACTATTCTAGCCCAGCCCTAGGACCAGCGTTTGCTTTGACCCTTACAGAGGCGAGAGAACACGACCACAGAGTAGTCTGAGCTATCATTGACCCCGCCTGGGTCACGGTACGTTCATCCACTTCTTAGGCCAAATGGTGGAAGTGTTGTGATAATCGATGAGGAGCGGGTGGAATACACTGTACTTGCATTTTAACTTAGAAATTACCCTATATCTGTATATCCTATATATACCCCAGCACCGTCTATGCGTTAAATCATCATCTGAGGCATCTTGGCCTTTTAAGACATAAAGTGCACTTTGTTAACTACGGTACATAGTTATTAACATTTCATCATGTAGTAAAATAAATAACATTATTAAATGGTGATTATACCAATATATTTTAGTGGAAAATTACTCACTCTTGTAAGTGCTTTTTTTCTTGGCAAGAACGCTTACATCGAAGCCACACAGTGTTGCAAGAAAAAGCGAAATCTAAATTATTTCAGTATTCCTCTTTTATTACGTTTTGAAATGTACGCCAGAACATTAAATTGCGTTTTGCATACGTTTTCTTTTATTTTAATTGATTTTAGATCATGGGTCTTTCCCCCAACAGAACGCATCGTAATCAAAATGAACTCTGTACATTTGTACATCTGCACATCTGAAGAGGTGCACAGGAAAAATGCTTCTCCCTTCTGTCCTTTAAACCTTTTTTAATAACTCCAAGTGCTGTTCATTATTATTATTATTATTATTATTATTACCGATACTGCTGCAGGCACTTATATTTCATGTATACTGAACTTTTCATGGGTACTAGTTACAATATTGCGACGACTAGTTTCTATCAAAACTCGGCCAAACGCAACTTAATAAGTACGTGATATAATCATACACGTACACATCGGCACGGAAAAAGAAACTTGCAAAGCCATTTTAGAAAAAAAACAACACGTTTATTTAGAGACGTATTTGGCTAATGACATATATCAATAAAATTGTAGAACATAATGAACAGGCCCGCTTAGACAACATTTAAACTTCGGGAAAAGTAAAAAACACGACAACAGCCACATATATGCCCAACGTTTCACTTTCACCGGTCTGTTGTGGTTTTTCTCTTTTATGTATACATAGATTTCTTGATATATATTTATACTCTTTAAATAAACACACCACAGACTGCCAAGCAAATGTAATCGCATTCAAATAAAACAGTCAATGTCTTCAGTAGCGGTTTTCTGCCAAAACAAAAGCGGATTTTCCGCCCAAAAAAAAAAAACCGCACCGAAACGTACGAGACGCGTACAGGGACGTTTGCGGACGGTGGATGAGTTACAGTACAAGTACAGTACTGAGGCGTCTGGGTGTACGTTTAGTCGGGATACAAAATGAAGCCAGAGAAAGTGCTGTACTTGTTGTTGTTTCCTCCGTGGGCTTTCCCGCCGTCCAGTTTGACGTATATCTCGTCGCCGGAGTCCAGGTGAAGGACCACGCTGTTGCTGGCGTAGTCGTAGTTCTGGTCGGCATCCTGCGCTATCGCACTCGCTCGGACCTGAAAGAGACGGAGACCGGCCAGTTATGACGTTTAATGTGGCGGGTAGGTCACTTGAACCGAGCGGGCTGTCCTGGGAAGAAGACCGCTCCGTCGGCAGCCGTTACCGTCCCGTTCTTTAAAACCGGCGCAACGCGAAGGGACCACTTTTCTGAGAGAGAGAGAGGAAGGGCTGCCGTGCGACTTAAGCTTTTGAACAAAAGCGCCTTTGAAAACTAAGGTTGGAGCAGGCGTTTAAAAACCCGCATTTCTGTTTTGGAAATCGACACTTACTGTAATATATATATACACTGAACTGTCCAAGGTACAGTACCACTGTAACTCTGCGCAGTTACTCGAAGCCCTTAGTACAGTATGTGCTGCCAGAGCTCACAGTGAACTCTGCTGAACTAGCTCTACGGTGCAGTGTGTTTTCTCTAGCTGGCCAGTGTTCTCATGGTCGGACACACAGCCCAAAATAATTAAAGCCCGCTCCTCGCCATCGACTTTTCTTGACTAACTTGATGGGCCCAAGTCACGGGCTGTGTTTAAGGAAGCCGTTTTATTTCTGCCGGTCTTAGTAGGACGCCGCCCGACCTGACAGAATGAGTTTACGCGCGCTGAAGAGATGGTTTCATAGAGCGACGGGCTTTCTTCTAAGATTAACAACCTTTTCGGCTACACGTTTGTGCCCTTCAACGTACACCCCCCTTTAGAGGCATCACCTGTTTATATCTGCGTGTGTGAATGTAAGGCCCGTTTTGTTTTCATTGCGGCTGGCCCCGTGCTGTTCATTTCTAAGAGTCGCGACGCTCTCCAGCCCGAAACGAGACTACTAACCTGTCCGTTTTTGCAAAGGTCTGCCCACATACTAGTCCCATCGCCACCTCGCATCAGAACATGGTACGTAAAGAAATAGATCCCAGACACTTGACAGGTGAACTTGCCCGTCGCCGGATCGTAATGGTTTCCCAGATTGGTTACAACATCATCAAATTTAAGCACCTCGTATCCCTCGTGAGGGTTCTTCAAACCCACGTAAAAAGCTATCCTGGGCCCACTTACTGCCGTGCTAACAGCTCCAGTCTCAGTCCCAGCGGTTCCCGAGGTGATGGCGGGGAACCCGGGCTTTCCCGAATCTCCTTTTTCTCCCGGCGGTCCTTTTGGGCCGGGCGGACCGGGTTCCCCAGGGGGACCTCTGGGTCCGGGTTTCCCGGGTCGCCCGGGTTCGCCCTTAAGCCCCTGAATGAACGGCGGCGGGACGGCACTCAAGTCTTGCATGACCTCCACAGCCGTGGCGCTGGGCTTGGGGTTGTAAGGGTCGCAGATCATCCTGCAGGTTCCCAGCATTTCGTAGTGAGCCGAAGTCTTGGAAGTGTGGACCAGCAGCGGTATTGCTATGATCAGGACCAGCACCATGACGATACCAACCACGGCGGCAACCAGTCGCTTCCTCTGGAGAATCCGAGAAGCGAGCGATAAAAAGTCCGCTTTGCTTTGGGAAGTAATGGTGAAAGATTGACGAGCGTCCAAAATCCCAGCAGAAAGAAAGTGGATATAAGAGATCAACGCTTTCTTCCCCCACCCCACCCCCCGATAAAAAGAAACAAATTTGTTTTAACCTTAAGCTTGATTTTCCTCAGGCAATTTCAGCTGTGCCAGTATCACTACGCTTCAGAGAGCAGAAATGGGAGTTATTCATCTTGGCATGACTGACCAAGCGCTGGTTTCTAGGAGCAGAGCAGAGAAACCTCCGAGCACTTTCAGCCCGTCTGCAACAAGGAGAGAGAGAGAGAGAGAAAGGGGGGAAAAAGGATACTGACGTAACACGTACAGGACAAAGCCTGTTGCAATTTGGATTAATACTGAAACTATAATCTCCCCATCTTTATGTATGAATTGCAAATCCCCGACAACCACACCTGAGAGAATATTGATCAAGAAAGCGTTACAAATACCCGAACCTTTGCGTTGCCGAAGTAAGGATTTGTCTAGTAGTGTAGTGTCTCTTTTGACTAATGGGATGTTTCGCATTTAAAGTTAAACAGTAGAGGGAGAGACGAAGTGTAATCGAGCACACGCCCCCTTACAGTCTATGTTTCAACAGGGAGAAAGTGCAAAATAAACGACCATACGGCCAGTTGTACATCGAAGCAGCGCTCCGTTCGCGTGAACCGGAGGCGAGCTCTTCCCTACTCGGTGGCGCGCGAGTCGGGATCTGGAGGACCCGCGCGCTGGAGCTGTTCCTTCAGCACCGCCTTCTGCCCGGGAAGATCGCCGAGTTACGCGCTGTAACTTCAAATGATCTGTCGTTTCCACTGGAGCTGTCCCTTCCTTGACCGTCCACAGATCCGGCCATTCGCCTACAGTGGGCCGGTAGTTTTTCATATTTCGTAGAAGTTCGGAAAACCTCCCAGTCCTCGTCCAGCTCCAGAACATTTGATGTAATTTTAAGAAACAACTGGCTTACTGGTAAAACGGTTCATGAAAACACATTTCTTAAAAGTCACTTTAGACTGAACGTGTTAAGTTTGAAAAAAAATGTGTAAGACGAACTTTCTTTTACCACGTTTTAACTTTCCAAATGAAATCACCGCGTTTGTTTTTTTTTTTGTGTGTGGTAAATTCATTTTCTAATCTCTGACAAAGCGATGGCTCCACGTCTGTAACAGATCTGTTAATCCTTATCTTCTAGCGCTGGGATTTAGCTTTTCACACTCTGTCT